TATAATAATAAAAAAATGAATCCGCCTCAACAATATAGAACTTATCTATAATTTGAAAATGTATTAGTAATTCACTCTTTCAACATTACAAGTTGCATAGATCTGTATGCATGAAGCAAATTGGTTACTTCTGACCTGCAAAGCTTTCTGCAGAATAATTTAAATCCTGAAATCGCCCATCTTATTCTTGCAATATTAGAGCATCAACAGTTGAATAAACAATCCCAAGTTCCCATTTCTAATTATATCCAGTTGTTCATGGACCGGCTGTTTGCAATAGGCCCGACCGAATCATTTCCATCCAGTTAAGTAGAAACTCTTTCAGAAACGGATTATTTCCTACTTCTGATCCAGGCTGACAATGCCCGCCCGCGGTTTTCCGCATAAAAGATTCGCCCAACAAAAGATTATTAAGTTTGACGAGTAAATTTCAGCGCTGTTACAGTATTAGAATGTCGTGGAAATCTGCCGTCTCTCTACCCGCTTTTGCTCCAGCTTTAATCGTGTCGGATCGCGAATGCGAGTAACCAAACCAGGATTGGCTTAAGAGGATTAGAGAKTTTTTGGAAAMGAACTTCAGTAAAATTGGGARTTYAAATTATYCTTCAAAGAATTTGTRSGCTTCAAAAAAGTTTWAAAAGATTCAAATATAGAGTTGTTTAAAAGAAAACRAAACTTTTATGGAGTGCATGCCTGTTATASGCCATTTAAGGACAAGGTGCATATTATATAAAGTCCAGTAAAATATTCGCAAYCGGCAATTTCCTTACGCTCCCTTAAAGTACATACTTTCCTGACCGTGTTTCAATTCCAAATCAAAATCAATTACTGGTCATTTATTGTCTCTAATTATCAATTAAAATACGTTTCGGTGTTTTCCACCATCATCACTTTTTATGTGGAGCGTTGTTGCTACTTTAAGCCTTGGCATATATATTGGCTCCCTTAAAGGTGTGCTATCTGTRAATAATTGAGAATTTTTGCTCTTAAGAATGGATGGTGTTCTGACRGAAACTCSTCAACGTCGGAAATATAGATCGAAAATTAAATATGARAAGTTTAGGAAATGCTCTTGTTTTGCCTAAAATAAATTAGTRTTGGGKGACAAAAATTAYATAAYAATAGTAACAAAAGAAGAAAAGGTAAACACGGTTKKGCGATTATAATTTACTTTAKTTCCATTAATTTYCATMTCTTAGAGGTCCAGGATTAGAGATTCSCTCAAAAGTGTSGGACGAAATAGGCGATTGTTAATTGATTCGCGTTTCTACCACAACATTTCAGTATCTACTTAAAGMAWCAACTCAATATTTTTTAAACTGTMTTTAGTTAACAATTTACTTCATTTCTTAATTAATTTTGCTTCAATTTGAAAATGCTGAACATAACATTTYCCTTTTTCTGYCATGTTTATCTAGTTGGCAGCATTTGCAATACCRTACTAAGCTTGATCTTCTGAGCTGAGCTGATGTTTCGTACATTCTTACATACATACATCGTACATACTTAGTTACTCTTGCAAGTTGAGCACTGTTGCTGGGAAAATCGCTAKGAAGCTGCGGACAACAATGGAGCAGATTTCTTGCTCGGATTTTTAGGCATGTACTGCTTGTCCCGTCAGGTTGTTTTTCAGAAATCCTAWAATTTTCTCATGAGATACGCAATATATTTGACGATTATTTTTATGCTGCATTATAGGCAGTACATTCGTTTAATAATGAAAACATTTTCTTGAGTAGTGTGAGCTTTCGAACTAGTTGCTCGCTGATATTTTGCTAGTGAAATAGCCTTGCTTTGAGGCTACTTACTTACTTACCACATTTACTGCTCCTGAGGCTTCTAATTAAAAATGTATCTAAACTTCTGAAACAAAAAAATATTAAAGCAGCTATTTGCAAGTTTTTTTTTTCGTAAAAAACAAGCCTATCCTGGAATTTCCTAAAGCGGCTTAACATTAACTGGAGCCGCATGGAAATTGCATTTGGCACAAGTGGGTCTATTGTATCCAACAGCCCTTTAAAGATGTTTCCACCTGGGGCGCTCATTATATTACCTTTTCGGAAACTTTCCACTCTTTGCATTTAAACGGTTTATTAAAATTGAGCATTACTCTCCTAAATATTAAGTCTGCTCGGTTTAAATGATTCTTGAGCGCCAAGTTCATACCAAAGGCCACATTTACGAGTCAAAATTGTCTGATCCAAATTTTTGAATCCATTAAATTGTTACCTTTGTCATTTTATCTACAGGTTCCATTCAGGTTTTTAAATTTACTTCACAATAATACAATTTTATGGCTTTCATATTAAACGATATAAATGCTTCATACAGGTTAGGTCAGACAAAACCGGACTGGGAACAATAAAATCGACAAGGCGAACACGTAGGAAATCTACATGACACCCGAAACAATGGAACAAACTGGAAAGCGCGAACTCTGCGAAAGGTGGAAAAGTCGGGTTTTCCGAGAGGATTTCTATGGAATGGCCATGGAGATTACATAGAACAAAACGATGGAAAATGCATAATTGTGTTTGGTTAAACAGATTTTCTACACACAATTTAAATTTGGTTTTGCAATAAATGAACTGAAATTGCAAACCCTTACAGAAACGTAAAACGTAAATAAAATATAAATTTCACTTAATATAAGTCTGTATGTGAACAGCTCCTATGTTTAGTGAACTGTTTAAGAAAATTTACCTCCAAAACACGTCGCATGTCCAACTATTATGATACCTTAAAAACAATAATCTTATTGCCTTCAGTGGCTCTATTTGGGGACTAATCTCGTGCAATACTTACGTTTCTTCTGATGTGTTCCTTTCTACATATATAAAGAAGAATATTGCTAACCTATACCTATCTACGTACATAAAGTTTGAGGTCACCGATATACAAGGTCAATTTACCTTTACCTTTAAAAAAATTATTGTGAAGGAATCCCTGGTTCAATCGGAACCAAATCCACACTATCAGTAAGCTGATACTTATTAAATTGAATACTGAAACTCTAATTTCTATATCTGAAGCGGTTCGCTAGCGAAACACTTCGGATGAGCTTGATGTAGAAGTACAAAGCCGGCCAAAATCTTACCAAAGTTTACAAAACTATATCATCAATCGATACCAAATCCCCTCTACGAGTCAGTTGATGAATATGACTGAAAAGTTCTACATGTACAATGGCAACCAGGGGCAAAGCTAAAATTACCGAAATCTGCATAGTGCCACCTGGAGAGAAGGAAGAAAATGTGCTTAGTGCAGCAGGAAACCTGTCCAAAGCCAAACTGATTTGAAATATCGAATGCAAAGAGATAGGAGTATAAAGAATCCATAAAACTTCACTTGCTTGTAGGAAAAATAAACTCAGTTCAAGCTAAAATATTTTTAGATTAGAGATCATTCTTACCAGCTTTCTGCTAGCTGGCGCCCCATCCTCCATTTTCTTTCTACACTTTTCGAGAAAAAGGACACCGCAGTACAGAATAAACATGATTATTTGATCATTTGCTTATTCGCCTTTTCGCTGATTCATTGCTCTCCCTTTGCTTGGCAGTTCGACTAAACGAAAAACGCTCCAAGCGCCGATTTCTCCTTAATTTAATTTTAAATTTAGAGTAATTTATTTTTGTCTGAATTTTCTTCAGCTGCAGTGATTAATGTACTAAAATTAATACCCACGTTAATTTTGTTTCTCTAAAAATATTGACCAAACAAAAAAACCGCGAAGAAATCACTTAAAATAGAAACTGTTGTCAATTTCCGATCGATGATAGAAACCAACGAAATATCAACTAATGAAAGAATGCCTTTAAAAGTTCTGATTTCAAGAATTATTCCGCCATAAGCACAATTTGAGCTGCTTCAACTCAAAGGTTCAACTCAACACAGTGTCACCCAAGCCTATGATACTCTTTAAAAGTCAGCAATTTTAGGTGATCAGAGGCTTAAAGCTTCACGAGGTCCGGGACTGAAATGAATATGGGTTCCCTTTAAGGGCAGTAAAATGTGTACTACCGGCATCAATGAGTCACTTTTTAGCTTGTCCTGGAATATACCCATTACATCATTTTCTTACCATAAAAAGGCAAATTAAAATGAATGACGCTATGTCAAGGTGCATATTTGAAATTTGTAATATGCTATCTATGAAAATTTATGGAGGTTTGTGATCTGCAATTACTGGATCCAACAACTAACATAGTAATTGTATATCAATCTACTAATAAAACATTCCATATAGGAAGACCCGGGCAAAAAACCATACATATCTATCCCACTTACTTTTGAGGAAAATGGATCTCTAGTTCAACCAACTTCTATAGGAAACAAGAAAGGTCCAAAATTAAAAAATATATAATCAAAAAGGTTAGCTTGCATTTGAAATAACGAAAAATTAATATTTTAGGTTTTTTGTTTCTAAAAACAATATTTTTTTTCTCGTAATAGACATGAATACTATTTCACTTGCCGCTCGCACATAAATAATTCTTCCCTAGTAAGGCAAATCTTTCCTCAGTAATCAATAGCGACGGGATGGTTGCTTGCCTTGGTCATTTCATATTCCCAATCATATCGCTTTGCTTTAGGTACTAATGGGCATGATTAGACGAATTTTGACAAAAACGATATAAAATATTTTAAGCTACAAACGAAAATTCAGGGTCAATGTACATAAAAAATGTACAATGGTCTGGGGTGGCCTAAAAATAAGCACATTAGTAAGATGTCTTTTTTAACTCTAAACCCCAAAAACAAAGTTGGAAGGTATTAGGTTACAGTTCATGTGTTCAAACTCATTAACTTCTGTGATGTTCATTTTAAAAATAAAATTGATGCCGGAATTAGGATGTGGCTGATAAAATAACGAGCTGTAGGCTCGATTGAGGTGTCATTTGTTCCAATAATACGGCATCTTAAAATGGCATAGTCTTTAATTGTACATACTTTCCTGACTGTGTTTTAATTCCAAATCAAAATTAATTCATGGGTTTCAGTCATTTATTGTCTCTATTTATCAATTAAAATACGTTTCGGTGTATTTTTCCACCATACATACATACATTTGGCCTTGGCATGTATGCCAAGGCTTAAAGCAGCAACAACGCTACACATAAAAACTGATGATGGTGGAAAAATACACCGAAACGTATTTTAATTGATAAATTGAGACAATAAATGACTGAAACCCAGGAATTCATTTTGATAGTATTTAATGTATTTGACTAGAATTTGCAAAACTAGACATTTAATTCATCCTGAAATCCTCGAAATAACAAGTAAAATTGCGATGTCTGTGGCAAAACAATCTGGCTTTCGAGATTAATTATTGCAAACAATGATCTGAAACGCTTCTAAACAAACTTATAAAAAACTCTGACCTCAAAATTATTGTCAGGAATGTATCGGTATGGTCTTATCGAAAATGTACTAATAATTACTTACATATTTTATGCCGTTTCCATATGACAAAGAAAAATTAGCGTTCCAACTTGGACGAATAATTATAAATAGTTCATCCACTTCTATCTATTTAAAACATAAATTTGGAAAACTTCCTCAGTTTAAAAAAATCCTCAAACCAATATATCGAAAATATTCTTATGATTGTTCAGATTTTTGATCAAGGTGTAGAATAAAATTGTTTGGTCAGTCATCAAATGTAATGCATCCGCCCCAAGAAGGAAAATATAACTCTATTCTTTCTCAGATAGAAACCGTTTAAACTATTTATTATCTGAGTCTGATCTCATAAAAGTCTAGAAATAAATGACAAAATTTAATTAGTGAAAGACGATTATTGAGGCAAAATTGTACTTTTTAACTCATTTATGAGTGGCACTTAAACTTCCAACTTCCCTTAGATATATTGATTTTTGCTGTTTATCTCTTTATAGGTTACAACAGCTTTTTAAAACATACTTACTAAAATGCATTTTCCGAGACGGACTCTCAGAAAATTCACGAATGTAGTATTTTAAAAAAAACATAATTTCGTGGATCTCAGGTTTAAAAACGAAACAGTTACTCTAACTTCTAGCACCAGAGTAAAAATGACTGATAAAGATTGACTTTATTCTAAATTGTTTAAATTTTTCTCACCTTAACCGTTCCAACGGTTGCACAAACTTTAATAAAATTCAGTTTTCCGGCTTAAGCAAACTTGACGGGTTTCAATCATCGAAGCAAGGAATAAAACGTTAATGTCACCTAGCTTTCCACCCCACATTTTATGCAAATGTGAGTTTTCTCCCCCAAATTATTTTAAAGTCGATCCACCAGATCTGAAGCGCTCTATTATGTCGAAAGTGGATTCTCTTGTAAGATATCTACACGTATCCCGAGAATATACATATGTATGTGTCTTATCTGCTTCTATTATTCGAGTTGTCTGTTTTTATTCCAGAAAATGGTTTCCTTAAGAGTCACGTTGTTCAAATTGGAAGCGAGATTTACTAAAGTGACTTTCCTCAACAAATCTGTATCATTTCAATTTTAGCTAAAACCCAAAGGAGGTACTATAAAATTAGTCAATTTTTCTTGCAGAGTAGCTTTGGAAAATTGGATAACTTTAACAACGGAACGATGACAGCACAAATAATAGACCTCGTTAATTTTAATAAGTCTTCGCCATGATCACCTTCAAGAAAAGACTTATCGCTGCCTCGCACCGTGCGAGTTTTCTTTGCAAAGAAAATATATAAACTTTCCCTCTTTATGTTTGTAGTTAGAAACAGTAAACAAGCAGGTGTTTAGGCATGCATAACGGCGGACGATTTCGACGTGATGAATTTGAAATTCAAATTTGTGCATGAACCGATAATGAAAAGAATTTATTCTGCAGTGGCTGCAAAGCTCTGGAATAGTGTTCGAAAATTTCATAGGTAATTATTACATTATAACATTTCGAATGAGACGCTAAATAAATTTCTTAGTCATGACAACATGAGTGAAGAAATTCGAGTAGTTTTCAGTAAGACAATGAAATTTGGATATTAGATACTTAGGTGCAAGATTATACCAAGAGAGAATTTGTTGACAATTTTCTCAAAAAAGTCTGGATTTCAAGAAGTTCAACTATTAATATCTTCTAGAAATTTTCGAAAGAAACTTTTTCAATAGTTTCACCACTTCACCACTGGTTAGAGCATAAATTGGGGCTTTTAGAACATAAAGGTTTCGTTATGAACGGTTTGCAGTTTTCTCAAAAAAGTCCAAATTTCCAGAACGATGTTAGTTTGCTTGGTTTTTTGATAGCAAAATCGTCTCAAAATGACGCCGTCTTTTTCGACATTTCTCAAGAACCATTTAAGGCACAGAGCTTGTTTTGATATCATTGAAAAGATAATTTAAAGGCCTATTCACGCAAAGAATCGCGAGTGAGAAAATGGCGGTAGTTTGCACACAAGAAAGAAAATTTGAGTATCACGCATTTAGGTACAAGAATAAGTCAAAAATTAATGTTTCTCGGCACATTTTTGCTTATTTCTCGGGGAGAAATTCAGCTCGGGCGCTCATTTTTACACCACTGGTTAGAGCATAAATTGGGGCCTTTACAATCTAAAGGTTTCCTTATGAACGGTTTGCAGTTTTTTCAAAAAAGTCCACATTTTCAGAACAATGTTAGTTTGCTCGGTTTTTTGATAGCAAAATCATCTCAAAATGACGCCGTTTTTTTCGACATTTCTCAAGAACCATTTAAGCCACAGAGCTCGTTTTGGTATCATTGAAAAGATAATTTAAAGCCCTGTTCACACAAAGAAACGCGAGTGAGGAAATGGCGGTAGTTTGCACACAAGAAAGAAAATTTGAGTATCACGCATTTAGGTACAAGATTAGGTCAAAAATTCATGTTTCTCGTCACGTTTTTGCTCATTTCTCGAGAGGAAATTCAGCTCGGGCGCTCATTTTTACACCACTGGTTAGAGCATAAATTGGGGCTTCTACAATATAAAGGTTTCCTTATGAACGGTTTTGCAGTTTTGTCAAAAAAGTCCAAATTTACAGAACGATGATGTTAGTTTGTTCGGTTTTTTTGATAGCAAAATCGTCTCAAAATGACGCCGTCTTTTTAGACATTTCTCAACAACCATTTAAGCCACAGAGCTCGTTTTGGTATCATTGAAAAGATAATTTAAAGCCCTATTCAAGCAAAGAAACGCGAGTGAGGCTGTAGTTTTCACACAAAAAAGAAAATTTGATTATCACGCATTTAGGTAAAAGATTAGGTCAAAAATTCATGTTTCTCGTCACGTTTTTGCTCATTTCTCGAGAAGAAATTCAGCTCGGGAGCTCATTTTTACACCACTGGTTAGAGCATAAATTGGGGCTTTTAAAATATAAAGGTTTCATTATGAACGGTTTGCAGTTTTCTCAAAAAAGTCAAAATTTACAGAACGATGTTAGTTTGTTCGGTTTTTTGATAGCAAAATCGTCTCAAAATGAGGCCGTCTTTTTCGACATTTCTCAAGAACAATTTAAGCCACAGAGCTAGTTTAGGTCAAGGGCGGATCCAGCTTTCAAGTCAGGGAGGGGGTCATGTAGTAGAAATTCAGTGTTTTGTTGTCTATGCAATTAGAAAAAATATCGTTAGTCGATATAAACCCAGCACAAGGGAAGAGGGGGGTCATGACCCCCATGACCCCCCCCTGGATCCGCCCTTGCCTAGTGAGCCCCTATAATCTTAGAAGGAATTAGGCCAATTTTGAATCACCCTGTTTTTTTCGCATTTTTGAGCAGTTTTTACTGGAACTGTTAGTCTATTGGAAACTAGCAGCTTCTACCTATATCCTAATGGTGAAAAAAGCTCAAATCATCAATCATCAAAACAAACTCAAAGTGTTTGTTCCTAAATGGTAAATTTGATTATAGTAAAGTTGGCAAGAAATACACATGCACAACAAACAAAATTAGTAAAGTTTCTTGAGCACTACCTAACAGTAGTAGACCATTGATTTCATTTAATAGTCCTGTTTTCATGCGTACTTAAACGCTTCAAAAGATTAATCCAATGGAGCCGAAGCACTTTGAGTCAAGACTCAACACATATTACCACAGCTGTATATGCATGTTTGGAGCGTTGACATAATGTACAAAAGCAGAAACCAAAATTAAACTTGAATAATGATTCTCTCATTCCCTGCGTTAAACTGATCTTGAATTTTGTATCAGTTCGGTCTATGAGTTCGGTAAGAATGCCTCGCAGACATGCCAAGGGATTCTAAGACACACCGCGGGAAGTCCTGGCCAAACAGACTTAAATTAATTGCTCTACCTTACAGTGCTTTATTTGAGAAACTGCGTTCCCAAATTACGAGTCAGAGTCAGGCTGTTGCTGCAGTCCAATGATTTTCACTTTCCCAACTATTACAAATTTTGTTATTACCAAAAGGCATTAAAAATCCTTGAGTGATGACAATATTTTATCTTAGCGTTCCTCAAATAAGTTATCAAAAGTGAAAAAAAAATTAAAAAGCCGAAGTTATGGACAAAGGCCTCAAAAACAAGTCGTCATTATTAATTCACAATGGTGTTTAGTAGAAAAGCTCAATAAGCACTTTCCGTCATTTAGCGATTTGACTAATTTTGATTAATGATCCCTGAAGCTTTCGCTTATAATGTGATTCATTTAAATAAAATCTACATGTAAATTTATATTTTATTGCTGGTGCTAATTGTTATAATTTTTTCAGTTTTATTTCCAACGTCTAGAGAACATTATTATTCGCGAATTGTCGAAAAAAATTACTAATTAACTCAAAATCTAGTGTATTTGGATATTTCAAATTAAATTTATTAAAAGCATCCGTAATACTAATTTGGTTGTTGGTATTATGGATGCTTTTAATAAATTTAATTTTAAATATCCAAATACACTAGATTTTGAGTTAATTAGTCATTTTTTTCGACAATTCGCGAATAATAATGTTTTCTAGACGTTGGAAATAAAACTGAAAAAATTATAACAATTAGCACCTGCAATAAAATATAAATTTACATGCAGATTGGATTTAAATGAATCACATTATAAGCGAAAGCTTCAGGGATCATTAATCAAAATTAGTCAAATTGCTAAATGACGGAAAGTGCTTATTGAGCTTTTCTATTAAACTCCATTGTGAATTAATAATGAAGACTTGTTTTTGAGGCCTTTGTACATAATTTCGGCTTTTAAAAAAATTTTTCACTTTTGATAACTTATTTGAGGAACGCTAAAATAAAATATTGTCATCAGTCAAGGACTTTTAATGCGTTTTGGTAATAACAAAATTTTTAATAGTTGGTTTGAAACATCTAAAAAATGCCAATACCAAAAAGTAAGAAACCATCAATCACACAAAATAAACAACATATCATTTATGAGGTTTAACAGTGAATTGAGAACGTAGCCAAAGAACTCTCGGTCCACATCCTCAATCTTAAATCCATTAAGCAAAGCGATTGTGCCTGCAAGACGCTATTTCGCCCCTATTCAATTGCGAGATATTAGAGGAATTAGAGGTATATCCTCCACTCATCAAATTAATAAATCATAATCACGCACTTCTGTGAATGACTTTAGGCAAATTTCCATCCAACCGATTAGCAAATAAATAGTAGAGCAGCATCATCGTATAATTCGTTGACTGACTAATATTAATGAATGTCGCGTAGCAAATAACCAAAACGCTTATTAATGTCTTCATATCAACTAAAGCCGGTCGTTTTTTTGCAGTATTCAAAATGTCTACACATGAGTCTCACATGTTGACTCCACAAAAACCGAAACTTTCACCTTTAGAGCTTCGCAATACTGACTTGGTGTCCAGACTATTAGCTGCCACTCCTCCTTACATGTACAATATGCAACTGTTGCCAAACACCTATTTTTTTTCGGAAATGTTGCGCAGTCTTGTGCAGGCTAAAAACGAACAGAGAGCAAGTGTTTCGAATGGATTTTCAGGTGAGCAGATATTCGAGACCAGGATGGCGGATATTCGAGGCCAATATAATACGAAATTTACTTTTAGGAAACAATATGTTCTATGGACAGCCACATCGACGGTCTAGAAAGAGAGCGTGGAACAGTGTGGGCAGGGAGACGTATACTCACAGTAATCACACTCTTGAGGATAAAGTAATTGAAAAACCCAAGGAAAAACCAGACAATGGCGAATCATGGATGCTCAAAAGCATGAGAAGAAATGAGGACAATGCTCTTGAGTTAACTACAAATGGTAGCTGCGCTTCTAACCAAAAGGTAAGAATATCACAAAATAAGTACTTAACAGCAAAAAAATGTGTGGCTTCTGGTTTCAGTTAGACGAACGTGCACTTCAAAAATCCCCAAAATCGGAGGACCTGCTTCAAACGTTTCCGCAACCGCAGCAGGAGAGCAGCTCGAGCCTAATTCTTCCTCCACCACCACCCATTTGGTATCCTCCAATATATCCGACCGCTCCTTATGGCATTGATCCACTTCACTTTTTCATTGATCTGCGGGTGTCGGGGCACATCTACGATCGGCAGAATAATAGCAAAGAAGGAGGAGCTATTTCAAGTCAAGAGGGCGGTAACAGCACCATAGTCAGTCAACCCGAAACCAACAATGCAAAAAAGGATGTAAAACCGGAGGAAATCAGCGGCAACATGTTCAGCCCGAAACGGCATTGCTCCGCGTTTTCTGTTCCAAACGCCAATCGAACCCAAACGAAATTCGACGTGAAGTCTATGGGTTTCGATAAAAGTAGCAATAAGACTAGCACGCACTACATAATGGCAAACGTTACAGACATTTACAAAAACTTGGGCACGAAGCGAGATCAGTTCAACTATGGTGTGGCGTCTAGGTCAGCAAACATCAACGATTTCGTGCCCGCAGCGGTTGATACAGAAGAGCAGAAAAACCACGTTGATGTTTCAGACGAATCTGAACCAGAAAAACAGAAAAAAGTCAAAGATCTACGAGCTTTGATTGGCCTGGAACTGGTCGTGGATTATATGGCTCACAAAAAAGGTTTGGTAAAAAGCGATGAGTCCTCAGACGTTTCAGAAGAGGGCGAAGTTAGTTCTGAAGTTGAGTCGTGTGGGAGTCCTCAATTGGAAGTTGTGGCGGTACACGACGAAGTTTAACTACATACATTATTTAACTAATTGTACATATTTATAATGCTACCAATTGTTTTTCGAATTTTGAGTAGTTTTAGGTGAAACAGTCATCTAGCTAGCACTCTTCTAGTCAATGAAATGAGTGGGCAGACCATATAGGTAGTTAAAAAGTCGGTAGTTTCTAGCGCCGAGTATATAATAGAGCACTGTGTTCTGATTTCTGGTCATATGTACTTACTAATACAATTTCTGTTATTGTTGAATAGATCCGGGGTATAATTAATAACCTCGTTTCATTACAGAAATTATTTCTTCAATGCACAATGAGAGCAGGTAGATAGCAAATACTTCATTTATTAACATTTTATGTCTTGAATGTTCTCGTGCAATTAGAAACCATAAACTCCGACCTCAGCCAATCTTTGGGTATTTATCCATTGTAGTATATTTCATTGAATATGATAGTTCTCTATACGGGTTATTCCTATCGGGTTCACTTTTCCTATCGGGTTCACATTTTAAAATATTTTTGTAATGTACAGAGTGTCCCAAAAGCCCTAAAAGTATCAAAGTTGTGTTTATCCAAATGAAATACTCTATATATTATTGCATTTTTGGATTCTCTGAGCAAAATAAGTGTTTGTTTTATTAAGATTTATAATGTCTAAATCTAAAGAGTTTTTAAATAAATCGAATTTTATCAAAATCTAATATTATTTTCACGTGTCAAATAGTTTAAAATTATTTAAGTTATGTAAACGTAATTCGTAGGGGAGTGTAACAAGAAATCATATTTTATATCCCAATGATAATAAACTGACCATTTTATACAGGGTGTCCACAAATTTAAACGAATCAAACAAGAACTTTAAGTGGCTATAACTTGATTAATTTAAATACAACCCCATATTTTTTTGCTTACCAGGAAATGCAATTTTTAATTACCTATCGAATGGTAATAGGATGTTGATAACTAAGTTTTTGCTTTTTTAGAAAATTTACAAAATACACCAAATAAAGGTTCTGTGCACCATTTGGTGTTTTTTTAAATTAAAAGGTTAAATAACATATCAACAATAACATAAAACAAAGGCAAATTATGTATAACAAATGTTCGAAATGTTGACCTTCCATTTCCAGGCACTTTTCAGTAAATTCTTTTTTCAAAACCACTGCTAACTCTGGACAACATTTGCGGAGTTACAGTTTTAAAAGCGTCTGGTATGCGTGTTTTCAGATCGTGTGAAGTTGTCGCAAGCGTATGGTAGACAATTCCTTTTATGTACCCCACAAAAAGAAATCTAGTGGAGTTAAGTCCGGAGATCTGGGGGGCCAATTTTCAAACACATTTCTGCCAATCCACCTGCTTTGAAAGTTGGCATTTAAAAATTGCCGAACTTCGCAGTGATAATGAGGCGGAGCTCCATCCAATTGAAGCCACATGTTGATTCTAATATTGAAAGGGACCTCTTCTAATAATATTGAGAGATGGTTTATTAGAAACTGGACAAACCTAAAACCATTTAGATGTCCTTCAAAAAAATAGGGTCCAATTAAATATTGGCCCAGTATTCCACTCCACACATTAACTGACCACCTATTTTGATTTTTCATGACCCTGTATGCGCGCGGATTCGTATCAGAATAATGAAAGTTGTGTCAATTCACGAGACCATTGTTATGAAAAGTACATTCATCACTAAATAACAAATTTTCGAAAAACTTTTCATTTTCTGCTACTTTATCTAACACCCACATGCAAAACTCAGTTCGGTTTTCAAAATAATTTCCATAAAATTCTTGGCAAAGCTGAATTTTATAAGGATAAAAGTGGTGCTTTTTGATAATTCTGGAAATACTTGATTGACTAATGTTAGTACT